ACACGCAAAAAAAAAAAAAAAAAAAAAAAAAAAAGGGCAACAACGCCCAGGCAACAGCAAATGATAATGATAATGATGAGCAAGTCCTTAGGGACATTGCTTAATTAAAAAAAAAAAAAAAAAGTTGAGCAACCCTCAGGCCAACTTCCTTGTGCACCGCGTAAGACAGAGGGGGGAGAGGGGGGGGGCAGAAAAATTCAGGGATAGCATACTTTGTTTCTTGGGGTAACTTCAGTAGAGACAAAAACAAGTTATAATCGCACTATGCGGCCAAGATACAGGTTGTAATTGCACTTCGGGGACCCTACCTGGCCAGAAAAAGTTGGTTTGGATACATTACCCAAACTGCAATGCGAAGCTGTATCTTGGCCCATAGTGCAATTATAACTCGTTTTTGTGACTCCGGTGTAGTTTCCCGTTGTTTCTTTCATTCCTGTACATGGAAAACACGGCGCAGTCCTTGGAGACATTGGTGGAACTTGGAACGACACCGAAAAGATTAGCATGGCCCCTGCAGAAAAAAAAAGAAGAAAAAAAAAAGGATGACACACATAAATTGAGAAATGGGCTCTCGCTCCACTACTCTAGAGTCTAGACTCACGAAAATTTTTGTGAGTGCTTCTGGAGCTGTCAGAGGTCTCGAAAAAAGAAACCTCGCTCCACTTAGGGCCTCGTTAGACACTCGTCGGGGACAGCGACTCCAAGGATTTCGTCGTTGTTCCACCTCTCCTCGGAGCCTGTTTTCGAAAAGAAAATGTGAAAACAGTCTGAGGACAAATCCTCGGGCACCGAGGATTTCCCAGGCAAATCGTCGTCGGGTCCGGGGGACCTCACGAGGTCCATCGAAGCCCGAGGAGCCGCGAATCGCGGGGTGGCGGCGTTGAGCCTTGGAGGAAATGTGCAGGCGGTAGGTGGTCCATTCGTCGTCCAGTGGGCGGAAGACGGCCATCGTCGGCAGTCCTTGAAGAAGTCCTCCAACGGCCTCCGGGGTTGACCGCTGGCGGCGATTCGCGGCATGGTGCATTGACATCTTCAGGCGGCCTAGGGGGGAAGGGGGGGGGGGGGGCTGCCGTTCGGGCAGGCCTCCCACGGGTCGGAATTTTGGAATATGTAGCCGTGTTGACGACAAGGCGCTTGTTGCACGAATCTGCTGTCCTTATCGTCTTCGTGATTGCCGTGTGTCGGCACTTATGGCAGATGCGACAACGAAGCTGCATGTGCTGTCTTGGCTTCGTTGTCGTTCGTGGCTGACGTGTACCTCAGTCTGTCGCTGCTATTGCGCATGGTTGTGCTGTTCCTGGTCGTTCTTGTCTTTCACATTTGTTTCCTCGGGCGCGTTCCTGGAAGGAAACCGAGGAGGCGAGCGTCGCTCAAGGCAAGGAAGATGGACAACAGTGTGAAGAACAACACGCCCTCATCAGGGCCAGGGGGAACTTCACGCCAGCGATGCAACGCTGTACAAGGTGGCAGGCAGCAGTACAACCCGACAGTGTACAACCACCTGTCGACGCACGAGATCTTATTGTCTCCAAGTGCTGACGAGGGCGGGGAAAATCGATCTTCAACGGTTCCTGTGGGCAACGGTTCTTCACACGACCAACAACACCGACGTACATGGAGCTGCTCGATGGACACACCCCGGATGCCTATAGCGCTAGGGTCGTGAATCTCAACTTCGGTCTCAGGTCCGGCAGTCGGCCGGCCGACACACACACCTTGGTCATCAATCCAGCTTTTTTTTTTTTTTTTTTTTTTTTTTTTTTTTAAAGGGCGACAGTCTTGAGATATATCCACAGGTGACCGGCCCTGGGTAATTCGAGATCGTTATGGGAGTTATTATTGTAGGTTATATGTCATGATCATGACTTATTGAGCTTCCTTATTGAGCTTATGTTGTGACAGGTATGTTGAGAATTTTTTTGCCTCTGGAAATCTCGTGAAATTGAGGGTCTCAACCCTGATAAGCATCGTAATCATGAATGTCAGCTATGATGATTCTGACTCGGAACTCAACCTGAGAGCTCTTTTATTGGATGCGTATTGGGTGTGTCCCTATCGGCCGCAGCAGGACCTGAGCAGCGACTTCCACTTGGCCCGATACTCCCGTATTGCAACGGGTTACAGGGCGGCACAACTCGCCCCAGCGAGTTACCAGTGTTGACTGGCCGTGGCCACCAATCCTTCAGGCCATTGAAAGTGACGGCAACGGGAATAGAACCCAGCACCTGCGCGGTGCCGCTCAGGCATGAAACCTACTGAGCTAGCCGACGGGATCCAGCTACGAGCGAATACTTGGCGAAGTTGAGGTTGAGGGCGGGAGGGGGTTCCAAGATCCTTGGATCCTATTCACAAGAGGTGTTGGATGATCGTGATTTCGTTTCATCGTCTAGGGGTGGTGTGAGGAGTACAACAAGAGTGGCGCTTACAAGGACGAAGACAATGAGCGTGGGGGCCTCTCGATCAGCGACACACGACGATCCAATCCATGGACGAGGGGACGCCGAGGACTGCTCTACTATTGAGGTGGTAGGGCAGCAAGTTTGGAGGGATCATTGGTAACAAACGCGGCAAGGGAACACTTTCGGCATAACGAAAGGGGTGGCCGACATGCACGACGGAGACGACGATATCTTCATGGGTTGCGATGGTGGGGAGGGTGAAGAATGCAGGGCGGACGAGGGCGACCGTGATGATGACGAAGATATGGAGATTCGTCCAGTGGGAAGGAAGAGAGGCGGATGCCGGGGCAGACAGAAGGCGGCGGAACTGCGCTGAGGGCGACAAGGCAAGAAGGTTATGCAGGACAGTGTCGCAGGCGACGGGGCGAAAAACAACGATTTGTGGACCGTCGACCATATTATTGATCTCGTTCGAGTGAAAAGAGACTAGGAGTTGCGTCTCGCCAGCTTGGGCCACAACTACGGACGCATGAAGATGAACTATTAGAAGAGGGACGATGTCGAGAAGAGGCTGAAGCATGTGGGAGTGATGAGCAGGAAGGCTATGGACTATAAGAAAAAATGGGACAACATTTTCCAGCAGCCCAAGACCGTGTACAAGTTCATGAGTGAATCTCGGAAGGAGGATTTTTTCACATTGACGCCGCATGAGAGAAAGGAGAAAGGCTTCGAGTTTCAAATTAACCGCCGTGTGTATGAGGATATGAAGGCGATGACTTGGGGCGATCACATTGTCCACCCCACAAGCCTTGTCGACATAGGCGCGCCTAGAGGGTTTCTGCCCCCCTGTGCCAGTAGGAACGAATCCGTGGCTAGCAAGGGAGGCGGGGATGGACAAAACCATGAGAACGGATCGACGAAGGAGTCCTCCTTCAGCACGGGGAGCGGGGGTGGGGGCGGCAAACGGAAGAATTTGAGACAACTGATCTTTGAGGTGATCGGCGACGTCATGGACAAGCACGGGAAGTTGATGGCGGCGACGGTCGACAACATGAGCAAGAGGCAGTGCTCCAATTTGACGGGGCACTGCGACATTCTGGAGAGGGAGGTGGATGTGCAGAAGGAGCACTACGAGAAGGCCGACCAGGCGAACGTCATGATATGCAATGCCCTCCTGGACATTGTGAAAGCCATCCGTGAGAGGTCTTAATGTCGTGCGCTGATACATCTTCGAAGTCTTCCCGTCCGCCATCATGTGTGTTGGTGACAGGACATCGACATCCGGCGATTGTCGTAAGCCAGTCCTCGTGTTGACGTGTTGTCCCGATCATGGTCGCGGGGTTGGCCCACATGCGGCCCTTCGCTCCGAGAGACTCCTCCAAAAGCGACTCCTCACGTAGGTGTAATTTCGTGTACATTAAGGAACTGCATAGTCCGTGTCACGGATGCGTCGCGCCCATCGCTGTGTGTATTGCACTGTCTTGGTTCCGTAGGGACAGGGAGGCGATGTACTTCTTGTGCATCCTGGGTTGGTATTTTTGAGTTTTTTTACGACGAGCAATGACAGTCACGTCCATCCCCGTGTCATCGTTGCTGCGTCCTGTCTTGTCCTCATCCAGGCGTGTATTGTTGTAAATCAAATTTTCAAAGATGACATTTTTGTAATGTGTTGCATTCCCACTGTAAGTGGTTGGTTCGCCAGTCTGTTCTCTGGTGTGCGACCGGAATCTCGTCCAATGAGGTTCGTCGATGGTGGCAATAGCCTAAGAAATCATATGTGTCAAGATAAGAACGAATTCAATGAAGTTTCATGCAACGGATGGTGATTTTTTTTATTTTTTTTTTTGCTGCATCCTGCCACTGTACTTGCAAAAATGCTTTCATGTTGTCCATGACATCGGTGCATGCTTGTGACAAAAAGCGGAATGACAGGATATAAAAAAAAGACTGATGATGATTTGATGACGTGGGTGTACCGAAAGCAACATTCTGTTATTGCACAAAAAATGTCGGCCGGTTGTTTTGGGTGGCATTATTTTCGGATTGTTTCGATTGAGCATGGAAAGACCATATTTCGCTGCGACACATACACACCCGCACATACAAAACACACACATAGCAATGGCCATTCCACCATTTTTGTTGTGGTGATGAACGACACGGTCTTCAATGGAGATGTGGTAGGACGTACTTTTGTTGGCTGGGATCATGTGCGTGTGGTGGACATCATCCCCTCAAACCTCCTGAAGGTTGTGATGGGAAAACACGGATGAGCTCCAAGTCGCCGTCAAGGTCGAACGACTTTGCTCGTGCAAGATCGTACATCACTTGTTTGGCAGAGATGGAGTGGGTGAGAGTGGTTTCCTCGACCTTTATTTACTACACGCTTTAGATGAAGATGGATGTGTCTCTGTGGTTTGTGGGCGTGAAGATCGTCAACAGGCCCGAAAATGACGACATGGTGGCGCACTAGGAGGTTACAATTGTGCGGTTGGTGGAGTGTTGGACAGACGCACGGTGGTGCGGGCAATGGGCGGATGGCGGTCGTTTGAAACAGGAAAGGATTAACAGGCTTGCAGATTGCCTTTGTGTACTATTGAGCGCATGCATGTGGATAGTGCCCATGGGTGGCGACGATGAGCGCTCCCACTACGAGACCTCCTTCTACGCATCATTGGTCGCAAAACCCACACTCATCACAGCGGGTTCTTACATCTTCAACCGACGAAGACATATTGTGGACACACAAACGTGGTGTTGGATCGCATGGGAAAACCCCACCTCACGTTGCGAGGTGGTGTTCAATCAGAACGAGGCTCTAAAGAGTGCATACAAAGCTAGAACACATGATTGGGTAGGCATCGGCCCTCCGGTGGTAATTGAGAAGGACGATGGCAGTCAATACGGTGGCACCTCGTAGACGCCTTCGTGGGATTGCGCATCTTGATGAGGTCATCAAGGAGGTGGGGTGGCGGGCGGGGGGGATGGAGAAACGTGGAGGGCGTGGGATGGCTTTTGGGGGGGCCGGGGTGGGGGGTGATGGATGGCTTGCGCAGGTGTAGACAGGGGGTGGTTGATGGGGATGACATGGATGAGGGAGTCTTGCCTCTGAGGATGGGTCGGGGGTTCGTGGCGGGGGCTGTCGCGTGCGCATGCGGGGGGTTTTCGACAACGCGCGCAGTGCACTGTAAGCGGATGTATTGGGGGTATGACATCGATTGTTTGCAATAGAGGGGAGCATCTCATTCGTTGTTAGTGTTTTTTTTTTTTTTTTCCGTCATGAACTTCCAGTTTCATGTCGTTGTTGGACGAATGCGGGTGAGCCCGCCACCGCTTTGGCGATAATTATCTTCATCCTTCGTCGTTCGTGTTTACCCCTGCATGGCTGAAGAGTCTGAAAAATTGTGATGCGGCGCTTTATTGGTATGTTAAAACTCTACGGATGAAATGGGTGGTTGTTTTCTAACATGTGTTTGATAGGAGTGCCGCCTCGAGGAGCTTTTCGTGATTGTTGTCGGTGCACTTCATATTCATTGAATGTGTTTGTGTACATCGTCATTGGCGTTTCTATGTGACATCGGCCGTTCTGCTTTCTGTCGTGCCAGTGTTTAAGCAGGATGTATTAGCATCGCCGTGTGAGGCAAAAAAAAAAAAAAAAACCGTGACAAATGGTAAAACATAATCATAAAAGCACCTCCGAAGCATTTGTGTATGAACATCTTATCCAACTGCGAAATGTCGTCACGCCTCGTCCGTCGATGTCATCATGACCGCTGGCTACAGGGGATGAAGAATGTTGAGGTCCACTCGGTGCCGCACTCTGTTGGTGGCGACGTCCCACAACATATTGTCGTCAAACTCGATGACAACATCGAGAAGAATGTTGTGTAAAATGCAGACAACCATGAACGGTTGCGGCAAAGTGTCCAGGTTCGTCTTGTGCGTCCGCAGGAACAACCTCCACATCCCCTGCAACCTCTCGAACGCCCTCTCCACAGCGCCCCTCTGTCAAACTTTTATTTATTGTTGAACAATGCCTCATTGGGATGCTGATCGATCCCTCCATACCGTACCACCACCCATTCAGAAGAAGGATACCCGTTGTCGGCCGAGATGTATCCATTTTTCCTCTCCCCGCCCCGCATCACAACAAGTGGCACGTGAAATAGCAAACCCTCTTCTATGCTTCATTCGTCCTTCACAGACTTGACAGTTGGATGGCCCTGATGTCCTAGCAGCTCCCTAGATATCTGACAAACATATCCAGCACACGCAAATCGAGGTCAACCACCACCTGCACAATGACGAAGAACTGATCCTTGTGATTAGAGTAATTCTGGCAGGGAGCGTTCGCATGTTTGTCCATGTAGATGTGTGTGCAGTCCACCGCTCCATGGAAGTTGGGGAAACCTTTGTCAGCGAACGTCTGAAGCACCACTTGTTTCCGCACCCTTGCGGACCATGATATCTTGTGGCCGTACACCCTTAACAGAGCGGCTGTAACATCGTGAACACGACGAGTCCAGATGCTCTGCCGATGCCGAAAGATGGTGTGTTGTTGTTGTAAGTTTCGCCTGATGCCCATCGGTACAACGTGTACGTGACGATCTGCTTGGGCTAAAGTGGCTCCCTATAGAACGTTAACTGTCATTGCAAATGAGGTGAACACTCTTTGATGATTTCCAAGAACACTCTACGGGACATGCGGAGCTTCTCTCGGAAGTACTTGTCCGTAGCATCATCATACACCTGCAAATCTTTCCAAGTACCGTCTGTTCTCCGCTTCATCCACCACCATGGAGTTGCCCTAAGGACCACACCGCACCCGATCGCTGCGCACAGTTGAGCGACGACCTTCGAAGTGCTAACGCAGTCCAGGGCATCAACCACCCTCTACACCAACATCCTCTCGCCGCCTTGAAATCGTGTGCTTCATGCGCCTTGCCGCTCTCTCCACCTGGCTGCGGATTACCATGACCATCGCAGTCGCCACAACAGTTATCTTCTCAGTGGACGTCAACAGTGCACGACCATGTGTACGACAACCCTCCATCTCGCTCCTTGAACACGACAAAGGAGCTATGGAGGATGCCCACCGTCTTCACCTCTGCAACCGTAACGGGAGGGGAGTACACTGCGGGTTTTCGCAGCCGTGAAGACAGGAATCAAACTTCACCAACAGACGTCGCCGCCGAAAACCGCTGCCGTTTCACCCTTCCTCATGCCTTCAAGTTGCAAGCCCGAGTGAAGATGTCTCGCTTCGCTTGCCACAACCTTCACTACAAGCCGTCCGAGAGCGTCTGCAAACGGAAGTACATGAGGAGATGATGAACCCAACCGGGAGTCACAAAGATTGCGCTCACCACACTGCCCCTTCGATGACATGCACGTCCGCCGCCTCAACATCGTCCAGGCGTTGCCATTTCAAATTTTAAATTTCGAACAGGGATATTCCCATATTCAATTTTTTTTTGGGCCCCTCATGTCTTCGTGCCGTTCGCTTTCTGGACCACCATGCTTCGTGGGCGAATATTCGAAGTCGGAAGACGGACAGACCCTGCGCGGGCGCGTATAATCGTATTAAACGTGCAACGGGAGGGCCCCGAGGATCCGTCATCAGAGCGATTCCCCGAGGACAGCTGGAACGAAGCATCCGAAAATCGCAATTTCCGCTTAGGATTCGTCCTCAGACCCCAAGGACGGCCTGGAGGCCCTTTCTCTAGACTCACAAACCCTACTAAGGGCACCGCCATGCCACTCTCGAAATATAGAAAATGAGAATGAACCTCCCCCTAGAACATGGTCAGATACACCTGTCACATTCTCGTCTTTTTCACATTTCGAGAGTGGTGTGGCGAGGCCCTAAGACTCTGGTGGGCGATTCAAGAGCACGACGACGCAACGCAAGCTTGTTCGGACAGTCGGGCCTTGAGGTGCAGTATTGAAAAAAAAAGGTCGAAGCGAGGGTAGGAGGGAGCACACTCGAAACATCACGTTGCAGGCTGTAAACTCTAGACTCGTCGAGAGTGCTCTCCGAGAGTGCTTTCTGACAACTTTGTGAGGTTCTCTTGGTGAGTACAAGTCTAGATTGTAGAGTAAGTGGAACCAGGCGTTGATCTCGAAAATTTGAGAGTCTAGAGCATACTTGAGGCGCACCTCGCTTGTGCGCTGTGCATTGTGCGATGTGCCAATCCCAGGTGTGTGCTTGCCTGTGCGCACGAGCACCGGGGTGTGCAGCGCGCGATGCGCTACGCTACTATCTGGTGCGCTGTGCTTAGATGCGCTGCGACATGCGCACGGACCGGGCGCATATGTGCCAGATGCGTGCGGTTATTTTGTTTAATTTTACTTTTTCCTATAGTTCCTTGTCCTTTTTATTACTCTAGGTATTCACAGATTGCATAGCATCAACGAAGCAACACACTTTTGCATACAGAAAATGGGCTCGGGGGCAGTGATCACAACTCACTTTCCTGTTGGTTGAGCAACATGTGTGCAATCAGAGACGAAGCATCTTCGTTGTTAACACGCAGACAGAAACGCGAACCGACAGAAGATTCAGAGCAAAAAACAGAGTCAGATTCGGAATGACAGATGAAATGGATTAAACACAAATTACGTTCATAAAACTGGAGTGTCGGCCACCAAAAGCAG